CGCACTTGTTAAAGTAGCCTGAGAAAATGTTACTGCATAATTGATTAGATAATAAATGTAATTTATGCATGAAAATATTGTTATCTTAAATTTTCTAAAAATATATTATATAAATTGTCTTGGGAAGTAGTTTTTCCTATCTTGAATTTACACCTATGTTTTACTCCAAAAATACCAAACAGAAGTTTTTACAATGTTTGAATTCTGTTAGTGTCTAAACCAATTGCCAGTAATGTGGAAGGTGATGGTGATGGAACAGAAGGATGAAGATTCAAGCACAATAAATCAAATATTTTCTATCACACAGTTCATAAATCCAAGGACTACAGTTTTTGTTTTGTTTTCAGTAAGTGTTCAGCAGCAGTCTTGAGTTCCATCACTGGGTGACATGCTTATTGTATAAAGATAACAGTATCAGTAAATCAAATGCAGATGAATATCCCAGCACTCTTGGAAATTATGTAAGACTTTTTAATGTATCCTTAGAAAAGAACAGTCCACCCCTCTGCCCATTTTGATTCATTACTGGATGATCAATCAAGCCCTCAGTATTTTTAAATTGAAAATAAAAAACTAGGAAAAATAAACATTCTTTGATTTATTCTGGTATTTTTATCTTGCTTTATCATTTTTTCCTTCAGTGGATGACTGCTTGCTTTTTCTTGGCAGAACTTTCCAAATTACCACTTGCATTTTAGCAGTTTCTTTTCTCTCTTCAGTACCCTCCACAAAGCACTCTTGCTATCTACTTAAAAGTCCTGGCAGATCTTGCTGAGGAGTAGTATGACTGAGATTTTATGTGTTTCTTCTTTATTTCAGGCATGTTTGACAGAGAAAACAAAGGGGGTGTGAACTTCAGTGAATTCACAGGAGTCTGGAAATACATCACAGACTGGCAGAATGTCTTTCGAACATATGACAGAGACAATTCTGGAATGATTGACAAAAATGAACTAAAGCAAGCACTAACAGGTTTTGGTAATTCATTAGTGATTACAGTTTTTATGACGGGGATATGTCACAGAATGAGCTGCTTACTGGTACTGCTGCAGAGCTGTACTGGTCTGACAAATGTGACAAAAAAATGAGGCAGGTGAAGGGCAGCTTTCCTTTTAGGTAAAAGGTACCTTTTAATGATGTCCATGCAAGAGGCCCATTTTTTTAAAGCTCTTTCCTTATATAGAGAAAAAGGAAAACATTCCACACATGTCCTGACACATCCAGTTCCAGTCTCCTCTGTGACATGCTCTGAGTGGGTTACCAATGCTTCAGGCAAAGTCTGAACTTACAGGGTACTTGATAGAACTTGCCACTTTTTAAAACAAGGCCAGCTGTCCATGCTGTGAAAGCATTCTGATGGCTAAGGAACTTTCATTCCAGTCACTTCACCTGTAAAGACTTGAACTGCAGCCCTAAACCATTCCCTCAATCGAACAGTCACCTTAATCTGTAATTATATTTATTGTGACTCTGTATACAGTTTTTATTGAGCATGGCTTTTATTGCATGCATTTTAGTTTAACAGAGATATTTACAAAAAAAAAGTCATTGTAACTCCTTACTGTTTTCTGATTTTGTTACACATGCCTGCTAAACAACCTTGTTCTTTTTATAGAAGGACTGCAGTAATTGAAACCTTCTAAAGTATTTCTCTTTTTCCAAGGTTACCGACTGTCTGATCAATTCTATGATATCCTTATTCGGAAATTTGACAGACAAGGAAAAGGACAAGTTGCTTTTGATGATTTTATTCAGTGCTGTGTTGTTCTACAGGTAAGAAAGGAAATGTACTTTGATGTCAATTGAAAAAAAAATTACCTTTTCTTAAGGTTTTCTAGTTCTCACTTTAACAGTCGATCTGGACCTTGCTTTTATTTATAGTAAGCCTTTTGAACTAAGTATATGCTAAGTGCTAGAAACATCTTTGTGTATTGGTCTTCATTAATCATTCCATTGGATCTCAAGTAAATTTGATACAATGGGTGAGGGACAAACAAGTGCAAAATAGTATCGATGTTTGTCAGTGGCTTCAGAGGTGATCCTGCAGGGGCAATGGTAAAAATACACAAAAAGCCTTCCAGTCTTTCAGTAATACAGAGAGTGAGAGAGAGAGAGAGAACATGGAGGGAAAGCAGTTCCCCTTAAAAGTAGCATCTCTGTTATTTAGACACATCGGTCACCTCTGCATTCATTTGTAATATAAGGCAATTATGGTTAGTTTTAGACTTGAACTCTGTTAAAAAGGGCTTTGGAGTATCACTCATCTGATGTAAATGAAACTGTGCTGGCAGTTGTTCTGGTCCTTTTTCTATAATGCCTGGCATATCTGGGGTTAGACAGAGATAGCTTGGGTATCAATGGCACATGAAGCATATTTGCCTAGAAGGTGAGATAGGCACAGGATATGCACTGGATTCTGTTTCCAGATGACTCAAACATTGCATTGTTTTTCCCCTCGCTTTAAAGCCAGTTATAAAAAGTTGTCTGGTCTATAAAGAAGTGCCTAGGTAGCTTAGGTATTGCATTACTATTGCAGTCAGCTATCTTTATATAATAAAGACTGTAAAATGGCTACAGAGGGGATGAACAGAAAGGGTTCATAAAGCTGTAGAAGCCCAGGTGGTAAGGGGAGGATGTGGCAGTCTGAACCTTCCCCTAGAACAAAAATGTCTATTATTTTCTCTCTCCTCCTCAGAGGCTGACCGATGTGTTCCGACGATACGACACTGATCAGGATGGCTGGATTCAGGTGTCCTATGAGCAGTATCTTTCCATGGTCTTCAGCATCGTATGACACCAACAACCAGGAATCGCACACTGGCATTACACAGACTGGAGTTGCCAAAACATCCCCTACTGAATATTATGTATTGTAATGGATGTAACATCACATTCTTAAATTTTGTATGTTGGTAATCACCATCAGAATCTGTACTTGAGTTGGTTTTTATTTTGTATTATTGTATGATATGACCATGTCTGCTTACTGTAGTACAGAAAGCACAGAATCTAGATTTAACCAGTACAATGTACATTACCTCTTACACATATCCTGCATGGGAAAAATTACTCTTTAGCAATGCCAAATTAAAATTATGCTTGTTAGTTTATATCAGCTGAAAGCCAGAAGTTGCACAACATGTTTTGCATGTGCCTTACTTTTATAAGAGTTAAATGTATTAATTTTTAAATACAGAATTTAAAATTAAGTAAAAATACCATGTCAACTTTCAGTCTATTTCACTTTTGTACAGCTTAATGGGGATGGTGATTTTATTTCTGTATCCTCATTTTCTGTGATTCAGGGATCTCTCCACTTGGATGGCCTTTTTTTATTTTATACCTGCCTCTTTCTTTCAGGGTATCCTTGGGATGGCTTCAAATACAACTTCACACCTGTGAAGAAGGTCATACTTGATAAGTTCCCCACAAAAATGACTCTCAATATGCTCCCTTTGGTTAGTTGTCTCATTTGCCATCAGAAGTCTTCCTTTCGGTGCTGAAGCACTTATTTGAAGTGGCCTTGAATTGACAGACATTCTCATAACATTAGCCTACATATCACCATGTACAGCTAATGAGGGAGAGTGGAAAAAAGTAAGACCAGTAATGACTGATTCCTGACACACACCATCTCTTGCAACAACTCTGAAGAAACAACTTGGAGGAAGCAAAGACAACCAAAAGTCAGTTACAATGTTACTTCCAAGTGACCCTGAGATTGGCTCAGATGGTCAGAGAATGGTACAAATTACACCAAGGTAACACGTTCAATCTCTGTATGGTCCATTCACTGAAGAGCTGGACTTAGTGTTCCTTGTGGAATCTTTCCAACTCAGATGATTCTGTGATTCTGTGTCCCACCCAGAGTAGAGTGTCTGGTGTCAGAGTGAAGGCAGCAAACTGGCCACTGTTACCAAACCTGTGTCTTGCACAGAAGCTGCTACTACTTGTCAAGTGATACTCAGACCCTTAGTGACAACTCAGCAACACTCTGAACACTCTTTTGGTTCAGGTATGTGGCGGAAAACCAATGGCCCCCACACCATAAGCACACTGAAACAAGGAGATCTCCCAAAGCACTCTGGGTGTCCTCACCTAATAGGCAAGGAATTGATTTTGGGTGAGGAGGGAGATTAGGAGTAATGACCAGTGTCAGAAACCACCTCATCCATCAGCTGTGAAAAGTTACATTGAAGAAAACAAGGGAAAAAGACTTCCACCAGTTACTCTTTGAACCTTCCCTCCCTGGAAGGCTGAGGTAATAACTATGTATGCTCTCTCCAGAAACAAAACAGAAGAGCCCCAAATTTCAGGGCTCAAAAGAGCTCCCCTGTTTCTTTCCACTAAGGAATCTGTCCCTTTGGATCATACACCCACATAAAATCCAGTAATACTGGGAAGTGTTTTGAGGAGTAAATCCAAGGTACAAACTAAAAAGCTGGAATTTGAGAAATTTCCCATGTTGTCTCCCCTGAAAGATGTCTCCATGTCCAGTTGGCCTTGTTGTATTTCACTGCCCTTGGTGCAGAACAGCTGACTCCAGCACTTCCTAAAGGAGCATCACTGATGCAGAGAACCATCAAGGTGACTCTGGATTGGAACCACTCTTGTCCCACTGGGAAACACACTTCTAAAGGTGTGAAAGCAGGTACACAGCAGACCAAGAAACTGACTAAAAGCAGACCATTTATCCCCAGTCCAAGGTATGTTCCAGTCTGGATTTTTGTCACTGGCTTTTTAATGAAATTGGAAATTTGCTCCAAGGGCTCATGTGCATTCTGAGAACTACTGCCTCCATGCCAAGGCCTGAGATGTAGCTGCAGTGGTGCTGACAGGTGCCAAGCATCCAGTGCTGCTCTGCAGGCTGTCAGGACCTACTTTGTGAGGTGGTTTCTTAAAGGAGGATTGGAGTCTAGACAGTTCTGCTCCAATTCTATACTACATAGGAGCAAGATATGGTAAAGGGTTTTCTTGGAAGTAAGAAGTACTCAGCACTCTACAGTTCAGGAAAGCTTTAATAAATCAATGCTGTCTTAATTTGGTAACTACTCAAACTCAATTTCCAAATGCAAGAAACTACTTCCCCAGTGCAGGACTCTGCACAACAGTAACAATAACTGGAGGGACAATAACTGTTGCCCAGAAAGAAAAATTACAGAACATGTAGATGGAAAGAGCATCTAATCTGGGTGGAGGTCATCCAGCTCCTGTATGCCACTGGCGTATACAGTGATGGCAGTAAAATCCAAAAGGGAGTGAGAAATGGGGAAGAGTTCTCTGAAACAGACTCAAATGAAAAGGTCTTAACTTGAATTGACAGAGTTGCAGCAGTAATATTTTCTAGCAATGTTATTTTCTACAGTTTCAGAATTTTAGTTGCACTACACTTTCTTTGAGAAAAAAAGCTGTGCTAGTAACATTTGTGTAAAAAACTTCTGGTAATTTTTAAATGTAGATGTAATAACTAATCAATCCCACAGACTTGTAAATCAAAACTCTGGCAGACACCTGTGGTAGAAAAAACAATTTTCCCTTCTAAGCAAGAAGGTTGACTATGTAATTCAGTGCATGGAAGTATATGGTACAGCTACGAGGTGTGTGACGTTATAAACCACTCCAACACTACAGTAAGTATGAGCAGTGAACAGAAAAAGGAAAGTGGATCTTGTAAGATGCAGAAACAAAACAGTGACAAAAGGAAAATTTCTGGGAATTGAGTTTACATGCTCAATAATAAATTATTTTGAGCTGAATTTTTATTATAATTTATGTAACAAGATCCAAAATGCTTTATGACAGCTCGTGAAGACTAACCCTGCTTCAGCACAAGTATTTAATGCACAGAGACACAGTTCCAGCATGGGTGAGAAGAAAAATGATAGTCCACAATGCAGCAGTGAAAAGGAAAACAGACACTTGGGAGTAAACTGTCTCACTTTACTTCTTTTCTTCAGCTCCATGTAAGCTGGTTTTAATTACATAGAGCAGATATCTAAAGCCAGGCATTCATGAGCATGTGGCTCTGAGACATCTCATGAACTGGTACGTACTACTCAGTCAGTACAACATTTTGTTTTTTTTCCTGTTATTTTATCTGACTGCCTTATGGGTTTTTACTATTTCTTAATGTGCTTTTGCCAGTAGAAAGAATCAAGAATTTTTATTTTAGCATGGGTCTATCCACCAAATGAGTTTTTAGGATAATTTATAATTATTTCATTTTGAACAACATGATTAAAAATCTGCATATATTTCATACCATTTCTTACTCTGCAAATTGAAACTGATATGCCCTGTTAAATACCAGTCCTCTAGTATAAATTACATTTTCCTCATATAGCATCACATTAAGATAGAGAATACCTATGCTGTGACATTCTCCTTTCTTTGTCTAAACAGAAATGTAGTGTATCGATTTCTAAAAATATGCTAATTATAAAGCCTCATATTAATGGAACTGGCCTTATATTTGTGTGACAAAAAGTAAACCCGTATTTTCAATTAATATTCTTCCTAAGTTGGTAGCATAAAAGTAAACCTTTCTTTTCTGAATTGAGAAGGGTATTAAAAGGATTATTAACTTTTGCTGACAGAGTAATTTTAACATATTTTCAAAAAATAACAAAAAATCTTTTTTCTGAAATATACTAAGATATAACAAATACATTACAAAAAGCCTAAACAAAATAGTATGTTCACCCATTATGTGCAAGTTCCTGTTCCAGCTATTTTTTCACATGTTAAAAACTTAAACCCTACCTCCCTTTACCTCTCCCAAGCGAGTCAAACACAGTTAAATGCAGTCTCTTTCCTGAATAGCAAGTGATGGAGATTCTCAAATCTCTTCATCCGTTTCCAGTTCATCTGCTGTTGCTCCTTAATCTTTCTCTCTAGCCTCTATTAGCACATTGACGAATGTCTGAATATTTACTTCTGGAAAGGGGAGATAAAAACATTTAGAGTTACTTCTATCTCATTTCCATAATACAGCATAGAGAATGTGAAAATGAAAGTTTTACTGTTAAGTAGCTACCTAATTAACTAATTCTAGTACTAGAATCATAGTTTGCATTTGTCCAAACTCATGCCCAATGACAGCTATGCAGGAGCATATACCCACTTCTCTTTAAATCCCTCTCATAATCCATTTCCAAAGGAGAAACTCTCATTTTGAATAGTGTATCACTATTCTCAACATTAATGACTATTTCTACAGTAACTGGAAAAAGGAAATTGACACTTAATGAACCAGCTTTCTGATAATATTTCTCTTGTTATCCCAATGGGTTTTGATTCATTTGGATTATCTGCTATAATGCCATTCAGGTTTGGTTCTGCATGCATTAAAATATTTTTTTCTTTGTGCCAATACATTCCTCTCCCACCACTGCAAACCTACCAGCACAACTCACGATACAAACTGCTAGTTAGAAAGATGACCTAGGACACACCTTTCAATTCAGGAAAGTTTTGCACTATCAAAATCTCCCACTCACTGCTCCATCTAGTTGCCAAGAGGCACAGTGTTCTCAGAGAGGAAACAATGCTTTTCTTCAACTGATACAGATGTGAGCAAAATGAGCTCAACTCCCCTGAAGAGCTCATCCTATCTCTGCAACCTGCAATCTTCTGCTTATGTTACAGCAACCACACTGATGTAACTCATTTTACAAGATGGAAACCAATCACCATCTTACTTTGAAGTGCTGGATAATATGGAGCCAGCTGTTTGAGCATCCTGGTCATTGTTGGTACATCCTTTCCTAGTAGTTTGTTCACAGTGTTGGGAGCAAGACCAGTATCAACTCTATCAACCATCTCTTCAGAGCTTCTGAACTGCTGGTGATCTTGGTACGAACCACTGCCAGAAAATGAGTCCTGATGTGAACTCCAGTCTCTCTGGTAGACTGATTTCTGATACCTGAATCCTTGACACCTAGATTCCTGCTTCCAGCTAGAGTCCTCGTTCCACCTATAGTCCTCATTCCACTCATTCCACCTAGTGTCCTGGTGCCACCTGGAGCCACCTCTTCCTGAAACAGCAGAATTTGTAGAAGATGTACAAGTATTCACAGACTCATAGTTCTTGTAAGCGGAATAGTTTTGTGAAGAATAGTTTGTAAAGAATTGTGTAGATGAAGGATATGAGGCAGAAGAATTGGGATAGGATAATTCTTGGTCACTTATATGCCTTGCTTTGGTACATGCTTGTTGATTTCTCCATTTGGTATTTTCTCTGTCAAATGAGAGTCTGTTATCACGGAGCTCACTTCCTTGCACATCACTGGATATATATTCTGCTGAGTACTCCTTCACTGGGCTGGTCTGGTATGAAGTGGCCCCAGCAGCCATATTTGTGCACGGCATGGAGTTTCTGAGCTGTCTCAGCCATTCACTGACACCACTGGCAGGAATATCAGGCTCAACAGCAGGAGAGTCCCTGAATAGGGACATGCTTGCAAAGTTGTCAGATCTCAGATGACAGGAGGATGATCCATCTTGGTAACTGTTTGAGTGAGCAGGAACAAAAGAAGCACCTTCAGAATACTCTTCATACTGAGACAAAAAACCTTGATTCCAGTCAGAACTTCCTGAATAAATAAAGGGCACTTAAAGTTAGCAAACTATTAAAATACCAGCTGCAAACACAACTACTTTGAGATTTTATGATGTGTACTTCTGTTCTTTTCCCATTTCCTGCCTTTATGTCCTACCTGAGTTTGGCATCTTTTCACCCAAAAATTCTAATAGTAAACAGATCAAAAAGGGTTACTACTTGAATTTCCATAACCTTAACTGCTATAACACTGTTCAGTGAGACACTGTTTTCAGACAGTTAAGTCATTAAAGCTCCAGAAAATTTTATTGTGAACTGACTCAGAGGGCAAAGACACACAGTACACCAGCTAAGAAGTACTATGGCTGGCCATAAAAGTAAATTTTCACAATCTGTGCAGGCTCCAGAGTAAACAAATTAGTAGAAAAAAATCTGAATTACCTTTGTATTCTACATCTGGTCCATAGTGTTCTGGGACACCTTCCCTTTCTGGAAATTTATCTTGAGGTACTGACATCAGTGGGCCTATACTGTTGGTGTAATTATCCTAGGTAAAGCAAAAGGTCAGAACGTCTGTTTGTGAATGCAAGAATTTAAGAACTTTACAAATTCTAAAAAGCAACAGATTTCCCACAGAAAGTTAGTGGAGTACAATTTTAGGTGATAGCAAAGTCCATATGAGGGGTGTGTTGTTATCACATTACACCACTATTTTCCGGGGTTATTTGGCAGACATATGTGTTAAGAACAGAAGGAGGGCTCTCGTGAAGACAATGTCTCCTGTTTCAAATTTATTGCCTCATCTCTCTTATCATCACCTAGCTAAAACATAAAACTGCTGCATATGCAAATCCTGCCTCTATCTGGGAAATGCAGAATGGAAGGCCCAGCTGAGAGATTAACCAACAGAAACAATATTTAACTGGTGGTGTTGGCAGCATTTGCATGGAGACAGTTACTGTAGTTCAACTGACATGGAACGTAAAATTGAGAAAACAGTCTGAAACAGCTTTCAGAAAAAAACACATCCTGAATTTTGTGAACCAGTAGCTGTTAGTGATGAATCATTTTTTCACAGATTCTGGTACTTCTTCAGATTCGTTTTTCCACAGATAGTCAACCTCTTTGCAAAGAAAATATGGAGGTTTGCATGGACCAACAGATAGTCAAGAACATCTTGTCTAATCTTAACAGATTAAAACTCTCAACTGAAAGCAAAGCTACAAGTTACGAGACAGACAGACCTACCCAAAGGCCCACATATGAAAAAAAGTGGAACATTTGGGTGGCACTTAAAGCCTCACCGATCTTAGAACAAAAACAAAGAAGCAAGGGACCACCACAAAAAGGATGACAACCTGTCATCAAGAAGCAAAATAGTGCCCAGAACAGAACACACACACACACAAAATATAAACAAAAAACAGTTGAGAAAGTGTGAACAAA